GACTTTTTTAGTTAGTCTGAGTTCTTATTCTTAGTACTAGACTTAAGATATAAAACCTTTTCCAATTATGTAAAAAGATTTTATTAAGTTTAATAAAGATAAGAGCATGGTCTCACCTTTAACATTAAAAAAAAAAAAAAAACATTATGTAGGATTATGCAGGGCTGAATATTTTTAAACCTGTAGTGCAACTAATACTTTATGCATACTAACCACATCAGTTTCATCATCATAATCCATTTTTTCTACACCCATAATTGCTTTTTTTTGTTATTCTTCTTGTTCCTTGTCACTTAATTCTTGAAGTACTTGTTTTCCATTAATCAATAATTGAAATTCTGGTTCTTCATTGCTTTACAATTAAAATTCTGGTTCTTCATTGCTCAACAATTGAAATTCTGGTTCTTCATTGCTCAATAATTAAAATTCTGGTTCTTCATTGCTCAATAATTGAAATTATGGTTCTTCATTGCCTAATAATTGAAATTCTAGTTCTTCATCACTCAATAATTGAAATTCTGGTTCTTTATAACTCTTATCATGCTGCATAGCATTTCTCTCTCTTTCATTTTCAATTTCCTTAAAGCTGCTTCAATAATATCGATATCATGCGTTTTTATATGATTTTGCAAAGAAGAAAGACATGCAAAATATTTTGAACAATGTGGACAATAGTGTTGCATAGTAAAGTACAATTATCTATTAATTAATGTTTTAAACATAATAATATATAAAAGAATTATTAGTATTGAATTTTATTATTATTATTATTATTTATTGTGGTTTTTGAAATAGTAGAAATAAGTAAAAAAAAAATTTTTTTTACTTATTTTCAACTATTTCAAAAACTGCGATAATTATTTTTTTAAAATTTTTTTATTATTATTTTTAGTAAATTAATATTATTATTATTATTTAATTATTATTATATATTTAATTTTATTTTAATTATTATTTTTTAATTATTTAATATTATTAATTTTAAAGGTATTGGAATTTTTTGCCTAAATATATATATATCATATCATAAGATTCAAATATGAGTGCCTTAGATTAATGCTTGTATCTTAACTTAGACGATTGACATTGGAATCAAGCATTAGTTTGAGGCGTGACATATATAGCTTCACCAACTTGCCTTAGAAGCACCTCTGACAATATTTATATATGACACCAAGTTAATAAGAACTTTTCAATAAAATTATTATTTCACCAATTTGCTTGTTATGAGCAAGGTTTAAAAAAAAATTTACTATGTAAGCTGTAAAAATTATTATTTTACAAAATAGTATTAGCTTTAGCTAATCAGTTGATACTGATCAGGGTACTATGCAGGAGCTAATATAATACAATAATCGGACATGCTAATGCATGCAGAGTTTATTTGATTAATATATATATAAATCTTTAAATTTAAAGGCGGTAGTCAAAAAAGAAAAATCGTGATTAGTGAGAACTTCATTTTTTTTCTTCCCAACTCAAATTAATAAAGCAAACACATATTTTATCATGATTAGTGAGAACTTCATTTTTTTTCTTCCCAACTCAAAATTAATAAAGCAAACACTATTTTATCATGATTAGCGAGAGCTTCTTTTTTTTTTCCTTTCCAACTCAAAATTAATAAAGCAAACACGTATTTTTATCATAATTAGCGAGAACTTCTTTTTTTTTCTTCCCAACTCAAAATCAATAAAGCAAACACTATTTTATCATAATTAGCAAGAACTTCTTTTTTTTTTCTCCAACTCAAAATTAATAAAGCAAACACGTATTTTTATCATAATTAGTGAGAACTTCTTTTTTTTTTTTCTCAACTCAAAATTAATAAAGCAAACACTATTTTATTGTGATTAGCAAGAACTTCTTTTTTTTTTCTTCCAATTCAAAATTAATAAAGCAAAAACATATTTTATTGTAAATAGTGAGAATTCAAAATTAATAAAGCAAAAACGTATCTTTTGAACAGTGAAATGATGGTAGAAGTTGGTAAAAGGTATCATACATACCTCATAAAATAACTATAAGTCAAGAGTGAAACATTGATAAAAGGTGTCATTAATAAGAAATATGAATAATAGTGAACCAAAGTATGAGCCAGAATTAAACATGAAATTATCTGAATCATAGATTAGTTATATATGTATTTTATATATTTATATATCATGTTTGAATTTAATTGAGCAATGTCATAATGTTACTACTCATTAGTAATTTGTTATTCATCATTACTTCAAGATTATCAGTATTTGGTTATTATTTAATAAATTCGTCACCATTATATAACATGTTATTATTTAATAAATAAAAGGATTTTTTTTTTATCTACATGCTTTTATCACATTCTATATTTTCTTAGCCATGAACAAAAACAAAACCAAGACTTCAGATAACAACACATCTAATTTTAATGTATTACAATGACCTAAAAGACAAAATCAAGAAAAAGTTGGTATTGTAATTAATGTTGCCTCTTTTTTTTTTTTGTCATATCTTTCCATTCGTCTACACACTATACACATAGTGTTGATCAACTAGAAGATTAAATTTTCAGCAAGGTAGTTGAATTACAAACACCAAATAATATTAAGAAATTGATCATTGAGAAAAAAATGAGAGGCAACAAAATATTTTATACATTATTTATTAATACAAATATATTAAACTATATTTATTAACTTTATTTAGGAATCAGAACAAAATGGTATAAAGAATTTTAGTATATGTTTTTATTATATATTAAATAATTATTCCAAATTTATTCTAAATATATTATTAAAAATACTGAAGCTAATATGAGTGATTCAGCAACTAGTATACAAAAAAAATGAGAACTTCTAATACTTCACTTAATTCCAGTCAAACTTAATTTAATTTACAAACTCTAAAACAATCTCTAGCACTCTAAAAGTTTCAGAACAATCCAAGCAATCAATCTCTGGTCCTCCAAATATTTCAGAACAATTCAAGAAATCGGTCTCTGGTTCTCCAAAAGTTTCAGAACAATCCAAACGACCGAATTTCAAAACTTCAAAACCTTTGGAACAATTCAAACGACCGAACTCCAAACTACCCGTTTCACCAACAATGAAGTATTATATTATAATTTAAGAATTATTTCTTATGACTCCATTTTTATATTGATACTTTTGTAGTTATGTTACTACACTAGGTTAGACCTTTTAACATAGAACTATTTGAAGGAACTTTACCTCCTCTTCCTGAAGTGGTTATACCTCATCCTTCTTCTGACTTCTCAGTTCAAGATGAATGTAAGTATTACTTATTAAGCTTTTTTTTTTTTTTTTTTTTTTTTTTTTTTTTTAATAAGGTACTAAATTAATTCTATAATAATTAGAAATTACCGTTGATTCACGCACTTTAACTAAGATATTGCAAGTTGCTCAGAAAAATTCTACTAAACTGAATTCGCTAAAAAATATTTAGATAGTTTGAAAGAATTACTTAATGAACAAAAGGATAAAATATCTGAGATTTTAACAAAATTAGAAAAGCCCGATGTATTATTTAGCTCCATAGAAATTGAGAAATCCAAAGTAAAAAAATCTTATAAAAAGATGAATGATGAATTTTATCAGGTATTTTAATAGTAACATATGATATTATTATTTGTATTATTTGTAATATACATAATTTTATTCTAAATGTAGGAAGCAATTAAGCAACTTTCATACAAATTATTTCACGAACACAAACAAATTAACGAGAATGAACTTAAGAGTCGACTTAAAACAAAGCTAGAAGATGATGATTTCTG